CACCCGACACTCTGATTTCTTTCATTCTTTCCAAGGATGGAGTGATAAATGACGTATGGTTAGCGATTCGCTTGACAGCGGCAATGAAGCAAAACGCTCCTAAATTCAAGGTTCTAATCAACGAACTTGAGCTTATTCGAAATTCAAGGCTCAGATCCCTTTTCGGCACGAAACTCCATGAAATGGACCTTGACCAGGCTACTCTACAAAGCATCATAAATATGTTAGCTCATGCAGATGACCGCGTCAATCAACTGGAAAAGTTGTCCTTACCTGAATGGGTAGATATTGCGAAGTGCCAAACTTGGGTCTCCTACGCGCCTTTACTTAAAAAGTACGGAACTGTTGGCTACTTCTTTGTTTTCCTGAACTCCCTAGGACACTCTGAGGGTGAGCATCTTCGCAGTATTGTGGATAAGGTGACTGAAGATGGAGCTGTGATGATATTCGAGAAGCTTATATCACGGATTACATACATGGTTGCGTACAAAGAGTTAGAATTTAGCAATAGAACCTCAGAGGAAATTACAACGCTTCTAAAAACAGCAAGTATGATCGCATCCTCTGATCTTATATTAAACAAAGAAAGCTTTTCTTCTCTAGCCCAATGTGGCTACGCTCAGAGATTTGGAAATATCTATCTTTTGGTTAATGAGTCTTTTCAACTCGCATGGATGTTACAAATTATGAAACTATCAGTGTGGAACCAGGTCTTTCCACAAAACGATCGTAGTCTTTCCGATGTAGTTCGTCTCACCGTGAACCCGCAAGATGATGAAGAGCACAGAACTAAACGAAAAATTGTTATGGAGGATATTCAAAAAGTTCTTGGGAGCACTACTATAAAGGATCCCCATGTTGCAATGTTGAAGAGCATAGATGATGTTATTTACCAAAAGAGAAAGATCCATCTACGCGACACTCAGAAGGTTGCGGTACTAAGTGCTATGAAAAACCAAAAGAATCTTTTGTCACAGGTGAACACCGGAGAAGGGAAGAGTTTGATTATCGTAGCTCTCGCCATAATGAGGATAAAGACTGCTAATGATGCTGAGACTGTCGACATCATTACAAGTTCTTCGGTTTTGGCTCAAAGAGATGCAGAGCACATGCGAGACATCT